GGTTGTCAGTGTGCATCATAGCGACTGTCAGATGGTCAGACACTTAGCAATAGCCTTTTATAGAGAGAGATAATTCTCTCCTATGTATTGTCTTGAAGTGAGTATTATCAACACCTGCTCTTTTTGTTAAGACTAATCTAATTTTGCCCTAGCTGGTTTGGCTCAGTGGGTAGAGCATTGGCCTGAGAACTGAAAGGTCCCAGGTTCGATTCCAGTCAAGGGCACATGCCCAGGTTGCACCGCAATCCCCACTGGCAACTGATCAATGATTTTCTCTCATCATTGATGTTTCTATCTCTCTCTCCCTCTTCCTTTCTCTCTGAAATCAATAAAAATATTTTTTTTTTTAAAAAAAGACTAATCTAATTTTGCATTTCATCAACAACTATTCTGGCTTATTTTTTAGATGTTCATTTGTAACCTTTACAAAGCAACGATTAAAATGATTTTGCTTTTCAAATCAATTCTGATTTACTAACTTAATTATGATAGTTTTATTGGTTCTTGCTTCTATCATCTTACTTAATGCTTTCTGTGTTGATACTACGTTTCTACTACTGCCATTATTACTTTTTTGATGTATGGTTACTTTGGATGGATTTTATTGCTTTTCATAATATAAAGTGTAGAAATTCTACTTTAATTATATCACTGTTTCAAATTTCCACCTGAATGTGCTCTTATATTAGTAATGTAGATACACATTGAGAGATAAAGTTGAGAATGTAGGTTTGGGATGTATCATGAAAACTCAGTTGAAAAGTTTACACTTAATTGTAAAGAGGAGACAAAAGAATTTTTGAGGAGTGCAATGTGGTTAGAGATAAGCTGTAGAAAAATCAATTAGACAGCACTGTGTAGGATGAATGAAAGTGAAATGAAAGCACAAGCTGCAGATATAAGTTACAAGAAAGTGCTTTTGTAATTAAAGAAAGGTGCTGAGAAGGAATGAAGATTATAGACTTCATAGAGACTGATGCCAAATTGGGTGTGATGTGCAAGTAAAACAACGGAACATATTGGATGTGGTATGTCACTAGTTGACTGGAAAAATTATGGTGTCATTTATAATAAAACTTTTTGATTACTGGCTTTGTTAGAAGATGATCTGTTTTGGACATGATAGAGGACAAGTAAGTACCTTATACTCCACTGTGCAAACGCAAAGTTTAGGAGGAGGAGTAGAAATGGAGCAGAAGGTGGGGTGAGTCAGCCATTGTTGATAGTTGAAGCCACGGGAGCCCATGAATCTTAAGGAAGAGTGCTAGAGAATATCTGAGACAGAATCTGGGTATGCAAGTGGTTGCCTCATTATCTCTCGGCATTTTTTTTAGTCAACTTGTTGACCACTAGGGCTGGGGCTCTGCAGATTTTATATTGGTTGTTGTAGTATGTTAAGTTCCACATATTTGTGAATTTTCTAGTTTCCTTGTGTAATTAATTTCTAATTTCATACAACTGTGGTTGGAAGATACATGGTGTAATTTCAATCTTCTTAAGTTTGTTAAGACCTGTTTTGTGACCTAAAGTACGTCCATCCTGGAGATGTTCCGTGTGAGCTTAGGAAGAATGTGTCTTCTGATGCTGTTGGATGGAATGTTCTACATATTTCTGTTGGGTCTAAAGTGTAGTTCAAGTCCAGTGTTTCCTTATTGATTTTCTGTCCAGATGATTTATCCATGGTTGAAACTGAGATACTGAAGTCCCCTACTATTACTGTATTGTTGTCTATTTCTCCCTTCATATCTGTTCGTATTTTGCTTAATATATCTAGGTGCTATAGTGACATTTTAATCTTAAGCAACTGCACTTGCAAATTATAGACAATTAGCAAAACTACTGACATTAAAAAAATCTGTCATTTAAAGATATCTGACATGAAGCATCTACCAAAAGACTAAATTTAACTCCAGAATGGCATAATATGTTATTTAAAGTTTGTGTATATTTTTCTTAAACTATTTTATTAGATACTTATATTTCGAATTGTATGGTGTGTGTTCTCAGTCCTCAATTAATTCCATTGTAGTGTTTTAAAATAAAGTCTTTTATTAAACCACTAGAGGCCCAGTGCAGGAATTTGTGCATGGGTGGGGTCCATCGGCCTGGCAGGTGATCAGGTCCAATGGGGGCCAGCAGGCCAGGGAGGGATTGTGGGAGGGCTCCAGGGCATGTCTGGCCCTCTTGTCCAGTCCCGTAGGGCCAGACCCCAGCAACAAGCTAACCTACTGGTCAGAGTGTCTGCCCCCTGGTGGTCAGTGCTTGTCATAGCAACTGGTCAATTGGTCAACTGTCTGCCCCCTGGTGGTCAGTGCACCTCACAGTGAGCAGTTGTGTGGCCTTAGCATATCATTAACATATTATGCTCTGATTGGTTGAACAGACAACTGGACACTTAGCATATTAGGCTTTTATTATATAGGATTAAATAGGATTCCTTTAGATGACCCAAAATTGTGATGAATTCTTTAGCACAGAGGGGACAGCCCAGGACAGTAACATCATATATATATATACACACACCTAATGAGACTTGTTTTTCTGCGGCAATGGTCTACATTTACATCACACACACATTTACAAATTGTCATCTCACCCAATTTCTAAACAGGGGCTAGAACAGGTTTTCTATGAAGAATCACATTGTCTTTCAGCTCTTTAATACTGATAACTGATCCTAATCATAAACAGTGTCACTAATGATGAGATACATCAATCTCTAAACTCTGCATGTTCAAACTCTGTGCTTCCAGTCACATAAGATGAATGCATAACCCGCAGCTAGCGGAGCACTGATAAGAGACAGTTTCACATAAAGGCAAGGTTGTTTGAGAAGCAGTACTGAGCTCTTCTGCAGCACCCTTTAATTGCTAGAGAGCAGTAGCCAGTTTAACCACTTGCACCAGAGGGAACAGACTGGAGAGGACACTTCTCACGTCTCATCAGGAAGAGAGAGGGAGTGAGAAAGAGTCGGCCTCTGCACCGCGTGAGGATTCGCCGACACGTGGGGCGGGCGCAGAACGGACAGTGTGTCTGAAACGCTGCTGCCTTTAGCCATCATTGTGCATGTTGACACCAAAGTGACCAGATAAGGACATGGTCACCATTTATCCATTCAGTTATTCGAGGGTTCACCGAGTGCCTCCCTTGTACCTGGCACAGTTCTGAGCTTTTAGGATTCAGAGAATGTGACAGAAAACTCTCCTGTCCTCACAGAGAAGAGGAACTATAATAGTAGGAATTAGTAGAGCAATACTGTGTCTTTTAGAATGTACCATAAGTGCATTTTAGAAAAAATATAAACAAGTAAGAATTAATGAAAAAACAAGTCCAGACAGAGATTGGAGCTAAGAGGAAAAGCAACGTGAGAGTGTGCGATGTGCCAGGGCACCTGCAGAACGGGAAGACGGAGACAGCTTCTGGGTGGAGAAATACAGGTCTTGGTGATCGAGAGGCCAGGCGTACAGGGCGTTTCTTTGTCTCTCTCCTGCTGACCATACTTTGCCATTTCACTAATTATAATTGTTCCATTAATGTGGTGCAATGCTGGTCAATAAGTGATGACTGGGATCCCCGTGTTCTCAGCACCAGTACGACTGGAAAATGTGGCTGAAATCAAACAACTAATCCTACTGCTGTGATAGGACATAGGCGGGGAGCGATGCTGGCCAGTAAGTGACCGGAGCCTTCTTGCTTTGAGGCGTGCACGTGAGTCTAGGCTGTTCCAGCCTTTTGTACATCACATACCTGAGATTCAGAGGCTGAAGTTCCAGAAGCTCCTCCAAGAGGCGGCTTCCTCTACTGCCACTAGGTGGCACCAGTTATTTTCATATTTTTTAGCCAAAAAAGAACAAAACCTTTTCTATCCAACGGCTATATTTTAAATGGGAGAATGTTACCTAGCACCAGTATTAATAAAAGTATTGTTATTTCATTAGTAATTTTCTTGGAGAGATCATAGCTAGCATTAAATACAGTATGTTCATTCACTCACATAGTTGTTTATTCAATGTGTATCTGGCTCAAATAATCTTTTAAAAAAATATAGTAGCAATGTCTTTGGAAAATGAAAAGAAAAAAATTCATGGAGTATATTATGTATATATAGTAATAGACTATATAAATATCAGGATCAAAAATAACTGATAGAAATATATTATGATGCTACATATATCTTTAAAATTTTGCAGGAAATAGTTTTAATAAAAGTCTGGTAGAATTCTTTATTTTTTAGAAGCAACTTATCATGCACCTCTCTAAAGAGGTAATTTTTTAAATAAACTGAGAAACAAGGTATTTACGATTGAAATTAAGTGTAAAAATTATTACAAAATGTAAAATAGGATAGAATCACTTAAATATATCTATATCACTTAATCATATCTATATACAAATTTAATATGGATAGCTTTATAAAGCTTAAACACTCAGATCTGAAAAGATACTTTTTATCATATGATGTCCCTGTTTCTAAGTAGTAAGTGTAATTAAAACATATGCAAAATGTTTCTAAAGAAAAAGCACATAAAATATTCTCATTTTCCCAAACAGTGGTTGGTAAACATTCAAATTATGTTTACTGGGTGGAGGGAGTCAAAGGGGGTGAAAAGGGGACATCTTTAATAATTTAAAAATAAAGATAAATTTAAACAAAAGAAATAAAATGTAACTATCCTCACATCTCCCCTTAAAAATATAAAAATGGCTCTGGAATAAATACAACCTATACTTTTGAATCAGTAGCTTTCCCCATAAAATAAAGTACAGTAACAAAATGAGTGCACATCAAATGCACTGAAAAGTACACTATGCTGGTAAACATGTTCTAATTACTTCAGAGGGAACATGAGAAGTTACGTGTTTATTAAGCTAACAGATCTATTTTTACATTGGAAACATCTCTGCTCCCGCAGGATGAAAAACGAGTGCCTCCCACCAGCTGCCACCTGGGCTAGCTCCACGTTGCCTTCATTCCGAAACAGTAAGAAGGTAACACTCACCTTCAGGTCTGCCAGAGTCTTTTGCCTCATGGCAACGAGGTTTCTGTGTATCCGTTCTTCCTCCTTCAACTGCTCTTCACAGGCTACTTTCTCATGTATGAGATGATCATAAACAGCTTGTATATGTTTCTTTTTAAATTTCACAGATGCATGTTTCTCCCTATTAAGAAAGCATTGCAATTACCACTAATCAATTTACATTTTATTTTTAAATTATACTTATGATACATTTTAACAGACAAAATATTGAAAAAATCTTAGAACTGAAGGGCTTTGAAAAAATTCCCTGGTCCCTTCTATAACCTCCATGGAGCTCTAAGTGATCCAGGTGCAGGAAAGTTCTGGAGAAATTGAGTGGGTTCTCTGGGATGTTGACCCACCATGCCTCTGTTTTGTTGACATTACCCTTCCTCCATGCAGCATGCAACTCCAAAGATACATTTACTTTTTTAAATCCTTACCTGAGGATATGACTTTTTATTGGTTTTTGGACAGAAAGGAAGGGGAGAAGAAGGGAAGGAAAGAAAAGGGAAGGGAAGGGGGAGGGGAAGGGGTAGGAGAAGGGGAAAAAAAATCTCCAAATTAGAGGATATATCAATAGAAACCTCAAAACCAAAAGAAAAGAAAAGAAAGCCAGAAGAAGGAGGAGGAGGAGGAGGAGGAAAAGAAGGGGAAGGGGAAGGGGAAGGGGAAGGGGAAGGAGAAGGGGAAGGGTAAGAAAAGGAAGGAGAAGGGAAGGGAAGAGAAGGGAAGAGGAGAGAAGAGGAGAGAAGAGGAGAAAGTGAGAGAAACATCCATCAATCAATTGCCTCCCGTGTGCGTTGACCGGGGATCAAACCCACAACCTTTTGATGTACAGGATGATGCTCCAACCAATGGAGCCATATATTAAAATAGCCCAATGAGATGAAAGGACCTAACTCCATGTAGAAGAGGTTCACAATCACTAACTGTAACCAAGGAGCCATGTTCTCACAGTTGCTGACAACAGGTGTAAGGAAGAGACCACAAATGTGCACCTGGTGCTGAGCTGCTGCATCAACCCACCTGCAGCTCACCTCACCCAGGGCCTTCTGGCACGTGAGAGCCCCACCTCATTGCTTAAGCTGGTGTGTGTGTATGTGTGTGTCTCTGTGTATGTGTCTGTGTGTGTGTCTCTGTGTGTGTGTATGTGTGTCTCTGTGTGTGTGTGTCTGTATGTGTGTGTGTCTCTGTGTGTATGTGTGCGTGTGTATGTGTGTGTATGTGTGTGTGTGCACGCGCATGCACATGTACACATGAACATGTCTGTGTGTATTTTGTCACATGCAACTAAGTACATCATGACAAAGCGGTAGGCTGATCTTTATGGTGAAATCGGTACTGATGTATAATGCAACACTAGTAGAATAAGCATCAGAAAGTGCTTAAAACAATACTGCAGACAATCAGTATGCTTTAGAAAGAATTCCCAGAGCTGGGCAGCAACCAGGATCCAGGATCAGCAGAGCTGCCACAGCTCAGCGCGGTCCTGCCGCCCACATTCGTCTTCACCTTCACCGGTACAGGAAGCTGCACAGTCAACCACAAAGACAGCAGGACTAAAGGTTTGGAGGAGCTAAAGTGTTAAAGTGCTTTGACTAGTGCACTATCTCATTTAAGCCAACCACAGCCCTATGAAAAAATAATTAGTATACCAATCTGCAGATGAGGAACCTCAACTACTGCATAATTAGCTCGTGCAAGCCAATGAGTAAATGACAGAACCGGAATTCAAATCCTGTTCTGTCTGTGCTGGACTCAACAGTGAAATTCAGAGAGGAGCAGGTCTGACCCAAACCAACAAATTCTCACAGCGCTGCCCCCAGCAAACATCCCTGTATCTTGACCACACACACTTTGTCCTTGACACTATTTTGATATGAGATTATATGCAGTATAGTGTTTTATTAGTTATATATGTTACATACTGTATGTGTACATGTATATGTATGTAGGAAAATAGTGTTTCCTTTCTCAGAGTGGTAAAAAGCGGTAACAAGCTCTGAAGTCCTGTAAGTCTGGGTTTGGATCCTTTTACTTTCTAGTTAAGAAACAATTGCACACATTTAATGAGAGCCGAGAGTAGACTTGATAGCTATTATTTCTATTCTTTTTATGAACATGTTTATTTTTATCCACATATTTCCATTGTTTTGCATATGCAGGTTTTGTCTCTCTCTAAAAACTGTCTTCAGATGCTTGAAGGTCTACTTTCCCACTTGACATTTTTAAAATATATTTTTACTGATTTTAGAGAGGAAGAGAGAGGAAGAGTAGGATAGAAACACCAATGATGAGAGAGAATGTGCCCTGACTGGGAATCAAACCTTGACCTCCTGGTTCCTAGGTAGGCGCTCACCCACTGAGCAACTTCCTGGCTTCTGTTTCCTTGGCATTCATATGGGGGCGCTATTACAAAATGTAAGGGGTCTGTTGTGAGAGCTGGAGGGGGTGAGGGGCAAAGACTTCCTGCACTATCCTGCTCTGTTCTTAGAGCAAAGTGCACTCGTGAGCACTCTTGCCTCAACAACACTATCATGTAGGCAGAGGATGGAAGACATGTGAGGACTGAAGTGGTAAGAATCCTGAAGGAAAGAGATCTTCAGCTCCTGAGTCAGATCCTTATAAGTTTAATGCGAATTATACCCTTTGAGGCTGATACCCTTGAGCCCCCAAATACTCTTACAGATGAGAAACAATGTAGATCAATGTCTTTCACAGTAGACTAGTGCAGCCATGCCCCCTTGCCTTCTTATGCGATATGCTGAGCATGGTTGGTCTTGTTCAGATATGGCATCCGATCATCTGGGCGGTACGTTTTTACCCGATGGTAGTAGCTAAAGGAGTTCCTGTTGACTTGACTCCTCCCAGGTGTATGGCACTGGGCTGTGCGTCAGTGTTGCTCTGACACTGATTTCCTGGGGGCCGTGACTTTGCTAATGCCGTGTTGGCCTTCTCTATTTAAATCGGAGTAATATCCCTCAGGGTGACCAGTGCGTATTCCTTCAACAGCCCCCCAGCCCTGTCCTCGATGTGTGACAAAGTAGGAAATGAGAACCTGGAGGAGCAAATGAACACGATGTGAGCGCTGAGTGGGGTCTACGCCTACACCAAGGTCGCAGCCACAGGCTCTCCTCAGCCTGAGCCGTGGGGGGCGTGCAGGGGGCAGCCTATCCATGTTGCGCTCTCACATCGATGTTTCTCTCTTCCTTTCCCTTCCTCTCTCTCCCATAAGCACATGCAGAATCAATTTGGTGTAACCAGTTAGAAATGAGGGGACAGGGTGAGAGGCTTCTGAATAAAGCACAGGAGGTTCTGTAGAATACCTATTTCTAAACTCTTCCTTCAAAACTTGTTTAAAAAGTGTGTGCACAACCATGTATTAACCATGTCATCTAAATGAGAAATACTAAAATTCGTGGGAAGGTTTATTAAGTTCATAAGAAATAAAAGTTGTTATACTTGCAAAAATAGAAGCATCTGCAGTGATTCAAACTGAAATAAACAAGGGGGAGTAATGAAAAATAAAAGCAGTTTATGATTTTGTTTTTAAGTCAAAATGATCTAATAGCACATGTATATTCCACATCAAACTATGATAGAAAATATCGATTGTTTAAAATAGGAATGATCTGTCTTAATAAACAATATATTAAACATGTACTATTTTGATACAATTTAAGAACTTACCTCAGAATGTCCAGTAGCTCATTTAAAATTATCTTTGCCTTTTCTCTTTCTTCTAGTTCCGTATTCAATGTAGTTATTTTATCTTGATAAAAAGCTGTTTTATTTTTAGCTGCCTCTATTTCACCAAAAATTACTGAGTGTTCTGCCTGGAAAAAAATATTCAGAGATGTTTTATGTTAAATTCTTGGGATTTAGGGGGACAATTACGTTTGGCCACATGAACAATGAAAGGCAACTAGTAACATTTTATCAATAAAAGCAGGAACTGCCCTGGCAGGCTCAGTTGGTTGGGCATCATCCCGTGCACCGGGGCTGCAGGTCCTGTTCCTGGTCGGGGCACATGCCTGTGTCATGGGCTTGGCTTCCCCTGAGGGGGGTGTGTGCGAGGGGCAGACTATCAATGTTGCGTTCTCACATCAATGTTTCTCTCTCTCTTCCTCTCTCTCACATAAGCACATACAGAACCAATTTAGTCAACCAGTTAGAAATGAGGGGCATCCATCTAAAATAAAATGTGCTTGAATAGTTTTCATTGGCATAAAGTGTAAATTGAAATTCTTTGCATATTAAATTTCTTACCTCAGTTTTTATTAGTGCTTCTTGGGTTTTCTTCCCCTTTATTTGCAATTTTTCCTTTGTTCTTTCCACATTTATTTTAACATCTTCTCTCTTTGCAATGATATCACCTAGTCTCTGGGAGACATTCAGAAATTAAGATGTGGAGCATTTACAATCCAATCATCCTGGTTTAGGTCAAATAGTTCTCAAGCGACATTCTAGTAACAACAATGTATGTTTTGATATAGAGGGAAAGGAGCACCACACATGAATTACGAAAACATACTATGATACCCACAATCCCAACATTCAAATTGAATTACCTGAGAAAACCAAACCATATCAATTTTAGCTAAGTAACAAACACTAATAAACTCACATAGAAATGACAAATATTCATCACAATATTTAAAATCTTTTAACCAAAAGTAAAACTCCAAATACAAATCCTATATAATAAAAGCTAATATGCAAACCAACCAAACAATGGAACAACCAGTTGCTATAAGGGGCACTGACAACCAGGGGGCAGATGCTCAACACAGGAGCTGCCCCCTGGTGGTCAGTACACTCCCGAGTGCCGCTCAGCCAGAAGTTGGGCTCATGGTTGGCAAGCACAGCAGTGGTAGTAGGAATCTCTCCCCTTTCTGTGGCAGCGCTAAGGATGTCTGAGGGCTTCTGGACTGTGAGAGGGCACAGGACAGGCTGAGGGCCCCTCCCACCCCACCCCCAGAGTGCACAGATTTTAAGCACCCAGCCTCTAGTAATCAATAATCATTAAAGAAAATGTATAAAAAAACACTCATTCTTCCCAAAGGTTTATGCTAAATACAAATACTTCTTATCATTTATAACTATTAAGACATAATAAAAACAAAAATAATTGACTACAAGAAGATATAAAACAATGGCTATCCTATCTAATAAAAGACAAAAAGGGTAATTGACCGTACCTCCGCTATGCTTCCCATTGGCTAATCAGGGAAATATGTACATTAACGGCCAACAAAGATGGCAGCCGGCAGCCATGCAGCTGAAGCGAGCAGGAGACTTGCTTGCTCCAGTGATCGAGGAAGGCAAGGTTCCCCGCTTGCCACGACCCAGTTCTGAGCTCCAAAAGCAACAAAGTTTCAACTATAGAAGCTAAACAAACCCCAGATACCTGCTTTCAGCCGACCGTGGCCACGGAGCTGGAGCAGGCTCTTAGCTCCAGTGATGGCAACAAAGTTTCAATTTTGGAAGCTAAACAAACGCCAGATACCTACTTTCAGCAGGCTGTGGCCTCAGAGCTGGAGTGAGCAGGAGCCAACTCTCAGCTCCAGTGATGGCAACAAAGTGTCAATTATAGAAGGTAAATAAATCCAAGAAAAAAAGAAAAAAAAGGAGA